CTTTTAAGCGCCTGATCAATAAGTTTTTGCACATCTTTTTGTTTAAATTCCTTGCTCTCTTTGTTGCACAAAGAATAATTTATCTAAAGGCGTAATTAACTTTCCGTCCTAAAAATAATTCTGCTGGAGTTTTTCCCGTAGTATCATGATTTGCCGTTCTTAAAGCATAAGCTAATTCATTTATGTAGCCATCCCAGCGCTTGTGATGTGTGCTAACGTAACTGCGAATTATTTTTACAATATTACTTTTTATTAACTCATTTTGATATGGCGTATGCCAAGTCCATTGCATATGTTTTCAAATATTTGACTAATGAATTGTTTTCCGTTATCGCTAATGACTTTTATCGGTGCACCGTATTTTAAAATGTATCTGTGTAAGAATGCATCTGCGACTGTTTTGGCTGACGCGCGTTTAAGTGGAACAATTTCTATCCATTTTGAAAAATGATCTACTATTACTAAAAGAAAACGATTTTTATTTAACTCGCTCTGGGGGAAAGGGACCAAGGAGATCTATGCCTAAAATTTCATTCGGAAATGTAGCGCGAATGCTATTTAAGTACCCGGCCGGGCTGTAATTAATATCATTTATTAACTGACATTGATTGCAGGACCTGACATACGCCGTTACTATTTTGTATAATTGCGGGAAATATACCGCCTCGCGTACCCTTTTTAAAGTCTTTCTGACCCCGAGGTGGCCCGCTGTTTTTTTTTTTTTTTTTTTCGTGCAACTCCTTCAAAATGCTTAATCGAAGCGAGGCTGGGATGACTGGCTTATACTCAAGATTTTCGTTTGTTGTTTTTCGTATAGAATAATAAATTATCTATTATTTCATAGTTTTTTGCTCTATTTCTTATCGCATCGATATCTGTGTGCTCAAAGCTTTCGGGGTCTTTCAAATAAGCATAGATATTTCCAAATTCAGGATCAGCTTTCAGTTCAGTAATAACCGTATCTCTAGAATCTAAAATTTTTGAAGTCAACACAGCGCATTTAAGTTCATTCCTTCATCGTCCAGTTTTATACGAGAAAGTGCGTCAGCTACATTGTTTTCCTTACCCGGTTTATATTTATTATGTGATATTATATTCTTGGAGTTTTAAAGCCCATCTTATTAACCTGGGCGTTAGGTTTTTTCCCGAGTAAAGTCTACCAACAGCCGCATGATCCGAAAAGACTGTTACTGGCGATTTGCCGAAATAAACTCGAAATTTGTGTACAGCCATTAATACGGCTAATGTTTCTCTTTCTGTAGCTGTATAATTCCTTTGTGTTTGATTCAATGTTTTACTAAAAAATGCCAAAGGATGGTTATTTTGCATAAGAACCGCACCCACCGCATAGTCTGACGCATCTGCCTGCAATTTCCAGGTTTTCGTCCCCCTCCGGGAATTTTAAAACAGGGGCATTAATAAGCGCTTCTTTTAATCTTTCAAAAGCGTGTATTTGCTTCCGCTGTCCACGTAAATTTACTTTTTTTCTTTTGATTACTAAGAGTGGTTCAACAATATTAGCGAAATCTTTTATGAAAGATCGATAGTAAGAACATAACCCAAGGAAAGACGAAAGTTTCTTGGCGGTGTTGGGCGGTGGGAAATTCTTAATAGCTTTTATTTTTGAATCTTGCGTTTCTATACCCTTTTGCGAAATTTTATAACCGAGATATTTAAGTTCTTTAGTTGCGAACTTGCATTTTGAGGCGTTAATTGTAAGACCGGCCTCTTTTAATAATTTAAAAACTTGTTCGAGGTCATTAATGTGTTGTTCCAACGTACTACTCGTTATAATTATATCATCTAGATAAATTAAAGTTGATTTTCCTAGGACAGGCTTTAGAACAATGTCCATAGCTCTCTGGAATGTTGATGGGGCCCCACACAACCCAAAGGGCATGCGTAAAAATGCATAAGTGCCCGATTTTGTTATAAACGCGGTTTTATGTATATCTTCGGGTCTCATAGCTATTTGATAGTAGCCAGACGTTAAGTCCAAAGTAGACATATATCTTCGTCGATTTGATCTGTCTAATGATCTCGTCTATAACCGGCAAAGGGTAAACTGGGAATTTAGTTAAATACTATTTAGTTTTCTGTAATCGATAGCAAACCTCCAAGCCCTTTTATCCGAAGGAGGAAACTCGTTCTTTTTCCTACATAGTACGACTGGACTCGCGTACTCACTATTTATGGGCGTTATTATTTTATTCTTTAACATCTCCTGAATATGTTCTTCGATGATTTGTCTCTTTTGTTTATCATAGCGATAAGGTTTAGTCCTACAAGGTTTTTCGGCATTTAATTGAATCATGAGTCACGATTTGACAGTTTCCAGGCCGTTTTTCTGAAAACAAGTGAGAAAAATTACTCACCACTTGCTGTATTGCTTTACTTTCCATGGTCATTCAAATGGCTAAGGTCCAACTTGCAGGTTGTCTCCACAGGTTCCACCACCCTCTGGTCCATCTCCAGCACCACGGAACTATCTTGAAAATTTCATTTGGCCCTCGCGGCCCTTTTAAAAAGTCCATACCTAAAATAAGAGAGTGTTGCAATTTTTTCACCACAAAAATTAATACTTTGAGGCTTTCCTCTTTTACCTGTAGTTTAATGATAATGATGACATGTTTTTCCTTGCGCCGCTATAATTTCCGTATTTTTTATTTTTAAATAGTCGTATCCTATAAAAATTCTTTTAAAAAAGAACTTTTCACTCATAAAATTTCCTTCTGCTCCTGTATCGATGAGGGCTTCTACTGGTACATCGCCAACCAGGACTTGTATAATTGGTAGCTGTGAGTTTTTTACGATGACTGTATTTAAGTGTCTATTTGAGGGTTTTTTCTAAAACTTCCGGGGTCTGGACCCTCCTTTCACAGGCCCCTCTAGTCGTTTAAAGCTTTCCTTTCAACTTCTGTGTCTTCTGGGTACGCGGATGCTTATTTTCAAATTTTCTTTTTGGGCCTTGACCTTCGAGTTTCGATGCGTTAGCTTGATAGTTCTTTCCCCCATAAGAGCGATTTCCATTTCTGGTCTGTTTCATTTGAAGATTCCTTCGGGTACTTTGAGAATATGTTTGCCCCTCTCGCTTTTTTTCCGCTATTCTGCGATTTTGAAACTTCACCGCCAATTCGAAAGAGTTCCTGCAATGTGCTTGGGTTTCTAATTTCAAAGTAGTCTTGAACAGCGGGTAACAATCTTGGTAATATTATTTCAATAATCTCCGCATCGGGTTTCTTCCCATACAGCATATCCGTTCAGCTTAATTTTTCGTAAGAATAAAGTCCGTCAACTCTTCTATATCCCGTTGATAAAAACTATATAGTTCGGCTTCTAGCTTCGGCTTCCAGCCGCGCGATCTTTCTTTACGGGAAGGCCTTTTTACTATAATTTTTTGAAATTTTCAAATGTATATGTCGGGCTTCCAAATTCCCCTAATAAAAATTTGCCTATATATTTTCCACCATAGCGCGGCCTGTCCTCTTAGTGCTGATGTGGCGATGGCAACTTTTTGTCTTTCAGGCACAGGGTAGAGCTGAAAGTGGTTTTCTATACCTTCTAAGAAATATCGGACCACCGAATTTTTTCCGTCGAAATAGACGTTTGGCTTGATTGATGCTCTCTCAAGTCTGGACCAGGTATCCAAATCCTTCTAACTGCGTTGTCATTTCTTGGTGTTGTCCAGCGGCTTCCATCCAGTTTTCGGCCATTTCAGTTCGATAAGTGTTCGGGCGCCAATGTAACGTTGCGCGCCCAACTTGCACGCAACCAAGAGGTGACTGTATGAAACTTGGAATAAACCACAAAGTCTTATAGAAGGGTTTAAAAGTCCCTTTTTATTCAACTTTAAATTACAATTGCGTTCTCTTGACGCTTCACAAACTACGCCAACCCGGCGGTCAAATAAAAATAAAAATAAACTAAAAAGAAATAAAGACAAGTTCTAACTACGAGGCTCTCTAAACGTAACTAACTCACCGCGTTTTACAATACCGCTGAATTCAATTCAGCAACTTGAATAAGAACTTGAAAGATTGCAACTACTTCCCGAAGCAAGCACACAGGCCGAAACGCGGGGTTCTTCAATTTCTCCTAACTACCTCCGCGCTCGCTGAAGTAAGAAAGCACACCTCACCGAACTCGTTTCCCTTCTATTTAAATCAGAATACTTCCGCTGATAATTTGAATCCTTGCGCGTTCTACTCAAATTTACATATTCTGGCATTGGCAGTTCCAGGGGAAAGTAAGGCTTGACAGGAAAGATAGTTTAAACTTAAAATAAATGTTAGTTAAAATAAATAAAACTAAGCATATCGAGATGAAAAACATATTGGGTATTGATTATCATCTTGTCACCTCCATTGAGATATGTCAAAGGTTGATTACGATTAAGAAAATGCCTTTAAAAATTGAATATTAACATCCTCATTTATGATAATGATGAACATCTACCAAAGATGATCCTTACCATGATTAGGCTGCATAAAATTAGACTCCTTGATGATGATCTAAATAAAAATTTTTGCTAACAGTTCCTTTAGAAAAGCATCTATCGATCGATGAGCAAATATGATCAACTAAAGTAAGACATTATATGAAACAATACTTACAATTGAAGCCACATAAATAGGGATTTAAATTTTTTGTACTTGATTTAAATTTTTGTAGGAAACCAGGTTTTGACTATAAATTAGAGTTATATTCAGGCCAAGAAAATAATGAAAAGTATAGGCTGAAGGGTGAATCAGATTTAGGTGCTAGTGCAAATGTCGTAATACGATTAGCAAGAATTATACGTCGTAATAAAAATTATACACTCTACTTTGATAATTATTATACTTCTATCCCACTTTTAGCATATTTATCTAAGGAAGGGATATATTCTTTAGGAACCATAAATAGGAACCGAATTCCTAATTCCAAACTTCCTACTGAAAACGTTTTCAATAAAATGGAACGATGACATTCAATGAAAGTTAGATAATAAAACTGTAATAATGGCCTCAACATTTGCTGGTGAAAAGTCACTTGGAAAAGTATTGAGGCATGACAAGAAAATTAAAGATCGTGTAGAAATTATTAGGCCTCATGCCATTGAAGAATATAACAAACATATGGGAAGTGTTGACTTACTCGATAGCATAATAGCTCGACACAAAATATTAATGAGAAGCAAGAAATGGTATATGAGAATTCATTTGTTTTGAATCTTTCATTTGTTAGATTCTAGTTATCGTAAATGCATGGTTACTATACAAGAATGTGGAAACTGATAAGAAATCTGAAAATTAAAAAAAATTTATTGAATTTACAAAAATTCAAATCTGAAGTTGCATCATGCTTATGCAAAATGGGGTACTATTGAAATCCTAAAAGAGGAAGACCTAGTAATACTTCAATAGAACAAGTGTCTCAGACTAAAAGATGCAAAGGGACTGCCCAATCCGTTCCATGTAAGGACATTAGAAGAGATGGTATAAATTATTGGCCAATATGGTCAGAAAAGAATACGGTGCAAGTTTCCAAACTGCAAGAGCTACACTCAAACTGAGTGCGAATAGTGTAAAGTAAGGGACGTTTTACAACAAAGTCAATAACTGCTTTAAAAATTTTCATTGTATGTAAGGCTAAAGCAATTTATAACAATGAATAATAAAATCCTCATATAAAAAAAAGTTTGTAATTTTACAGCACTACTTTGCAATGTTGCACTTCTGCAACAAACGAAAAAATGACTGAAATTCAATTTAAAACTGCTTAATTTTTTTAATATTTTTCAATTTTATTATTACTTAAGAAGTAGCTGATATAATTTTTCATAGAAATTTAAAAAATTGGGAAGTTAAGGGTTAATTACGGGCGAACTCGGTTAGTTATTTCTGTATAGCTTCGACTTAGTTAGTTAGAATTAGTTTAGTTTCTTATTTTCTAGCTTAAATCCAAGTGGAGGATTCCCTGTAAGCCCGAGAGAGGCCGACTATTATTATTTCTTTGAGTGGATAAAAGGGTAATTTAACTCTTCTTTGGACTTTATCCCTAATTTTTTAAGAAGACCAGTGAGTAGTCGCTAGACTTTTCACTAAAGTCCTATTGGCAAAGAACACGTAAATTAACTAGAACTACATAATTGTATTAATTGCATCATATCATTGGTCGATCTGTTGTATTAGTCTATAATCGGTTCAACTGATATGCATTCAATCCATTACAAAACCGTACAATCATAATAATACACTTATTTTAAGTTTTGTCTAACGGCCCAAAATTTCTAGCTACTCCAGTGCATATCACCTAAAGTAAAAAAACAAAGATAAAAAGATTTAAACTACTTCTGACTCTGATTGTTTTGTAATGTTCAATTGTTTCCTCACGTGAGAGTCAATAGTACTTAAGAACACATTACTATTTCTATTTGTGCAGAAGTAAATGTGTTTACATTTATCATTACTTAAACAAAAGCATCAGATATGCAAAAGAAGAAAAAAAAACACCCACTCATGCTTATTGTATTGCGCCGTCAAAGTATATTCATCTGTCGCAATGTGAAAGAAGCCATCTGGGTCACAGATGGCAGTTTCCATTGAATTAACTCAAAAACGAATTTTGCAGTTTGTGAGAGCAGTAGTTAGGAGTAGAGCTAAGTATATCTTTTCCCAAATTAACGGACGTCAGTTTCAGTTTCATCATAAGGAAACAACAGCTAATGAGCGTAATGTTATAAATACAGAAAAAGAATGTCATAAATTATTTAGCATGAAATATGCGCGGCAATTAAAAATGAAAATACTAACTTTTGAATTAAGTGACTGGCTTTATCTGGTCATGAGATATTTCTTTTTGACGCTTGATATATATATTAGCTAATAATTGAAAAACTTTTTTTTCTTCTTTTTTTTTTTTTTTTTTTTTTTTTTTTTTTTTTACTTTCGAGTGTCATTTTAATGAATGAAAGTTTATGAAAAGAGAGAATAAAATAAATAACTGTATAAATTTATCGAAGGATAGAAGTAATATTGGGTAAATACAGATCTTCATAAGCAGATTCAAAAAGCCGTGCCACTCACGAAGTTAAGGAAAATAAATTTCATAATTTCCTATATTTATTAATAAAAACAAAATATTTCCTTCTTACATTTGTTTTCTTTTTTCAGTTTTAATTAAAAGAAGTATTTTCTTTTCAAAATTCATATCCTTCGATCAATTAACTGGAATTAAGAATTATAGTACTATTACAAAAATCTGATGTTTTTAAAATAATATTATACATGCATGTGGTTTATGTGAATGTTCAATAAAATTTTTACTGTAAATAAGAAAATTTGGAAATTATTCAGCAAACAGGAAAACTATTCAGTGCTGATTTAACTTCTTACTACGTTAAAGTTGGTTCCCAGACAAAAGCCCACTGGACGAAAGCGCACGCGACAAAAGCCCACAAAAAAAAAAAAGCCCACTACGATGATTGCCTACGCGACAAATACCCACAGCAATGAAAGCGCACATTGATAAAAGCCCACACAGATAAAAGCCCACATTGCTAAAAGCCCACATAGATATAAGCCCACGCTGATGAAAGCCCACACTGATAAAACAAATCAAAGGGACTTAGTTTTTTATTACAACCGTGTATTTATAATTTATTATATTGAAGTATTCATCTGAATTTAATTCCTTATGTTTTTTTATATTTATCACTATTTATTTAAATCTACTCAGTGTTACATCTAAACTCCGAACTATCAGCGCCTCCACATCTAAACTCGAACTATCAGCACCATTACATCTAAACTCGAGAATAATCCTACGAAGAACGTAGTTAGAACTCTGAATCCGAACTCGATTGACTGTTAGCTGGAGAGCGCGTAATTTCATGTAATCTAATAATTGTATATAACTGTATCTAAATATAATATCTTTATTTATACAGAAGTGTCAGTTTTTATGCAAAAGCTTGGAATTATTTAGATATTTCATCGAATAAGAATTAGAATGGAACAAGCTCGGCTCCCGGGTGAAAGAAAAGGTAAGAGATTTCTTTTTACCTTTTAGAATTCTATTGAGAGATACAACAAATTTTGGCATCCCTGCCGGGACGCCCGAGCTAAGAATAAGAATTTAAATTAGACAATAAAGATTAAGAATACAATTATTGATTACATTTTGAATTTTTGAACTGTTAAGAACATGTCTGAAGAGATTTTAAATAAATTAAAAAAGAAGCGCGCAGCTCTCCGAACATCAGTAACGAAATCGCTTAAAGATTTGGAATCGCAGCTTTCGGAAATTGATCCGAAAATCCATGATTTGGAAGAAAATTTAGAAATATTAAAGAATAATTTCGAATCGCTTAAAAGTGTCGATACAGAATTAGAACCTCTTTTTAAAGTCGAAGAATTTGATGCTGAATTCCAAAAATCTGAAGAATATCGTCAAAAGGTCGTTAAATGCAGTTTCCGTACCTCCAAAAGAATCGACGAATTAAAACGCAAATCTACTGAAACGGTAGTAAATAACCAGTTCAGTACTGATAGTCAAAGCGAACCAAAACATAACGAGTCTGTTCGAATTAAATTACCTAAGTTAACTTTAACGAAATTCTACGGAGATATAAACAACTGGCTAACCTTTTGGAACAGTTTCGAGTCTGCCATTCATAAAAATGATTCATTAGATAAAATAGACAAATTTAATTATTTGAAAGCTCATTTAGGTGGTTCTGCTTTAAATACAGTCGAAGGATTACCGATTACTGCTGCTAATTACGATTCCGCAATTGATCTTCTAAAAGAAAGATTTGCGAAAACAGATGTGCTCATTTACACTCACATAAATAACATTTTGAACACTAAACCGTTGAAAATCTCGAATGATGTTCGCGCCTTTAGAAAATTTTATGATAATATTTCTATCGAATTAAGATGTTTAGAAAATTTGGGTCAGTCTCTCGAGAATTTATCAAGTGTGTTATGTCCAATAATTCTGAAATCACTTCCCCAAGATATTTTGCTTGAGATTAACAGAATGAGTAATGGAAGTGCGTATTGTAATATTAAAAGCCTGTGCTTGATTATAGCTCAATGTTTAGATTCACGCGAAAGGGCGGAAGTCATAAATAAGAATTCAGAGCATTCGACAGCGAATAGTGGGCGCCGTCAGTCTGCGTATGCAGTCCAGAAAATAAACACTCGTCATTTCAGCGATGGAAAGAGCAATAAATTAGAAACGAAAGCTTCTTCTGCTTCTGATTTAGTGTCCACGGGTATTAAAGAAAAATTGATTAAGGCATGCGTTTTTTGCGGAGATTTTTCCCATTCAAGCCATAAATGTCCTATTGCCCAGAAACTAACGAATGACGAAAAGGTTGAAATACTACGCAAAAATGGCACTTGTTTTAGGTGTTTACAAAATAAGGGTCACATCAGCAAATTTTGTGATTCTAACATTTTTTGCACCCATTGTCACTCTAAGCATTCTACGATTATGTGCAACAGAATTAATTCCGAGAGTAAAAAGGGAACGATCAAAACTGTCCAGGAAGTTGAAAATAAAGTACTTTCGAATCAAAGCAACCGTTCTGAAGTTTATTTACAAACTTTGGTCGTAGGGGTAGCTGGGAAAACCTTAAAGGGTTATTTAAGATTGCTAATAGACACCGGAAGTCAGAACACGTACATAAGTCAATATGCTGCTAAAACGTTGAAATTAGAAAAGATAGGAACTGAAAGAATTAAACATGGGTTATTTGGGGGTGTAGAAGTTTCGGAAGATCATAATCGTTATCAAATAGATTTAACTAGTTTGGATGGAAAGTACAGGTGTAAAATCGAAGCACTAGACCAGAGGAAAATTTGTTCGTCACTACCTAAGATCAAAGACGAAAAAATTAATTAAAGTAATGGAAAAAAGGGGAATCCTTATCAACGACAATCATGTGAATGGAAATCTCTGTCTGTTTCAAGAAAATCCGGAAGAGATTCATATGCTGTTAGGAGCGGACACCGCAGCACAATTGTTCACTGAAAGAATTGAACATTTTGCGGGGGATTACGTAGCCTTTGAGACCAAGTTAGGCTGGACTTTAATGGGCAAGATTAAAGAGAATGCGAATACGTCGAGTTCCCTGTCCGTTCTTTCTTTATCCTTACATGTTTCCGATACAAATTTGTCCAATCTTTGGCGTTTAGACACCTTGGGGATTTCAAGTGAGGAAAACAAAACGAAAAGTGCCTTGGAAGAAGAAAACCGAAAACATTTCTTAAAAAGTGTAAAACGAGATAGCTCAGGGAGATATGAAGTAACCTTACCCTTTATTTTAGATAAATCCGTCTTATCCAGTAACCGTACTGTGGCAGAAAGACACCTCGTCAAAACCGAAAGTAAACTAATTAACACACGCGCAGAAGAAAAGATTACGAAGAAATATTTGATGAGTGGGAAGCGAAGGACATTATTGAGGTAGTAACTGAGGAAAAGGAGGAAGGAGTGCACTACTTGTCACACAGACCTGTAATAAAGAGTCTAGTGAAACTACAAAGATACGGCCTGTTTTCAATGCATCTGCACGTTCTAAGAATTCACCCTCTCTCAATGATTGTTTGAGTAAAGGACCAAATTTAATAGAAATTATTCCACGTATATTGAATCGTTTTCGAAAATATCGCATAGGAGTGTCATCTGACATCGAAAAGGCCTTTTGTCAAATCAAAATAGCAGAAAAGGATAGAGATTTTTTAAGGTTTCTATGGTTCGATAATCAACATAAGTTTAAAATTTACAGACATAACCGAGTTGTTTTTGGACTCACATCAAGTCCGTTTCTGCTAGCCGCTACACTTAGTCACCTTTTGACTACAGTCCCAGAAAAGTTTGTAGAAACTTCTAATATTTTGAAGGATTCATTTTACCTCGATAATTCGTTAATTAGCTTAAATCACGTAGATGAAGCCGAAAATTTCGTTCAAGAAGCAAGATTGATTTTGGCTTCAGGGCATTTCAATTTGAGATGTTGGCGATCAAATTTTCGCATTGACATGATCGATGAGATAGAGAGCAAGACGAAAGTTGTCCCAGTATTAGGATTAGTATGGGATTTAGAAAAAGATAGTTTGAGTTGCAAGATCGAAGAAACATTTAACTTGAGGGAACCTATTACCAAAAGAAAAGTTTTGTCAATTACCCAGAAAATTTTTGATCCCATTGGCTTTACTGCACCGATAACTGTAATTCCTAAGCTAATTTTGCAAGAAACATGGAACCAGAAGATTAAGTGGGATGAAGATCTTCCTCTTCCCCTAAGTGAGCAGTTTGGGACTTGGTTGAACCAATTGCCTCTGCTATCTCAGATTGAAATTCCTCGTTGGTTAAATATTGATTACGAAAACGAAGATACCGTAGTGCTCCACGTTTTTTCGGATGCTAGTAAAAGAGCCTATGCCACATGTGCATTTTTAAGAGCTGAAACCATCGAAGGTGTAAAGGTTCAGTTAGTAAGCGCGAGAAGTCGAATAGCCCCTATTAAGGAACTTACGATTCCACGGCTTGAACTTCTTTCCTGTCTGATAGGTGCCAGGCTTGCCAAAACAATTCTATCAGATTTGAAACTTAAGAATTGTAGAACAGTGTTCTGGAGTGATTCTTCTACAGCTTTGGGGTGGATAAGAAGGGATCAAGCATGGGGTACGTTTGTTCACAATCGAGTACAAGAAATAAGATCGCTTACCAGAATATCTGACTGGAGGCATGTACCTGGAAGTTTAAACCCAGCGGATCTCCCATCGAGAGGATGTACTATTGAGCAATTACAGAAATCGGCATGGTGGGAGGGCCCATCGTGGCTTTACTTACCAGAAGACGAGTGGCCCCATGTAGAAGAAAAGCCTGATGAAGAACTTATAAACAAGGAAAAAAGGAAAACGATTCTGACTCTTCTAGATCATGGAGACAATTTGGACCGGTACTACAAATACTTCTCTTCATATAGAAAAACCGTGAGAATGATCGCTTGGATTTTCAGGTTTTATCACAATTTAAAGAACAAAGATAAAAACCTCACTCCTGATGTCTCAGTTGATGAATTGGAGAATGCTGAAAAGGCACTTTGTAGATTGGTACAGAAAGAATCATTTACAGGCATAAACGATCCCGCTATTCGTGCGCTGAGACCAATCGTAGACCAAAATGGAATTTTAAGAGCCAAAACGAACGTCCTACAGCGTCAAGATAATGAAAATTTCCGATATCCTATCATTTTTACCTTCAAAACATACCTTCTTGTTGAGAGACTAATTTACGAGAAACATCTAGAACTCCAGCATGCTGGTGTCAGCACTTTAATGACAAATCTTAGAGAAAACTTTTGGATATTAAAATCCAGAAAAAGTATTCGAAATATTATCAGAAAATGTGTAAGATGTAAAAGATTTGTTTCACAAAGAGTGGAAGTCGAGCCAGGATTTCCACCCGAAGATCGAGTCAGAGAAGGGGCGACTTTTGAAGTCGTCGGTGTAGATCTAGCGGGTCCTCTCTATCTCCGTGAGGGGTCTAAAGCGTGGATAGTCTTGTATACATGTGCCATTTATAGAGCCATTCACCTCGAACTAGTTACTTCTCTATCTACAGAAACTTTCATCCAATCTTTACGTAGATTCATTGCCAGAAGAGGTAGACCTTATGTGATATATTCCGACAACGGAACTAATTTTGTAGGGACTAACAGTGTTCTTAAGAAAGTTAATTGGAACGCCATATGTTCAGCTGCTTCTTCTATCCAAAGGATACGATGGAAGTTCAACCCTCCGACCGCCGCCTGGTGGGGAGGTTGGTGGGAGAGGCTTGTGCGAATGGTGAAAGAAAATTTAAGAAGAGTGTTAGGTCGAACGTCCTTAAATTATGAAGAATTATACACTATATTATGTGACTGTGAACAAGTGATTAATTCGCGACCTATCACATATGTATCAGAGGATAATCAAGATCCATCACCACTGACCCCTATGATGTTTCTGCAAGAATTGCCGTCATCAGGAGTTCCTGATATGGACTACGTAGATTCCAAAGAACTAAACCGTCGAGCCAAATACCGACAGAGAATAAGACATGATCTACGAAACAGATTTCGTAATGAATATCTTGGTCAGTTGAGACAACAGGCAATAAAGAAAGGAAAATTTCAACAATTGCAAGTAGGCGATGTCGTTCTATTGGAAGACAGCCAGAGACGACGCATACATTGGCCTTTAGCCAAGATAGTCGAGCTTTTCCCCAGTAAAGACGGAATAGTTAGACTAGCGAGGGTCAAGACAAGAAATGGAATTCTGCTTCGTCCAGTGCCCCGGCTTTTCCCGTTGGAGATCTCTACTTCCGAATCCGTTGGCCCTCCGTTCCCCGACAGAGCACCTCGAGATAGAAACGACCATGCAACTGGTCAGGCTGATCAGGCTGCTAGTATTCCAGAACCTGCCTCAAGTCCTCGAGTGATGACCAGAGCTGGACGAGTTGTTCGGCCTCCTCATCGACTGGACCTGTGTGTATTGAGTTCCTCCGCATCGTCGGATCTCAATGGTGGGAGGAGATGTTACATCTAAACTCCGAACTATCAGCGCCTCCACATCTAAACTCTGAACTATCAGCACCATTACATCTAAACTCGAGAATAATCCTACGGAAGAACGTAGTTAGAACTCTGAATCCGAACTCGATTGACTGTTAGCTGGAGAGCGCGTAATTTCATGTAATCTAATAATAATTGTATATAAACTGTATCTAAATATAATATCTTTATTTATACAGAAGTGTCAGTTTTTATGCAAAAGCTTGGAATTATTTAGATATTTCATCGAATAAGAATTAGAATGGAACAAGCTCGGCTCCCGGGTGAAAGAAAAGGTAAGAGATTTCTTTTACCTTTTAGAATTATTGAGAGATACAACAAATGTTCAAGTTCATGAAATGAAATTTTATATTACTTTTACTTTGTAGTGAAATGAAAAATATTGGAGTTCTCTATTTTTTAGGTAATAGCTGAGATAAATTTTATTAAAACTATTAATATTTAAAAACTTGATTTATTATCTTGTAATTTTCTTTAGTTCCTTTTTAGTTTAGGAATATTAAAACAGTTAAGCTTAATGAAAACTTGGCAAAGAGATATTTTATTCTTTACTTTAGACTGAGCTTATTATCAAAGTTTAAACATATTTCTTGTTGAAAGCTTTTTTGAATGTAACTATTATAACTTGGCGATTTTCTAGACATATTTTCTTTTATTTCTGAATTTCTGAATAAATTAAAACTGTCAGTTGACACACTGTCAGTTGACACCCTGTCAGAAAATGAATTCCAAATGTTAACCTCTTAATCTTTCAACTACAGCAATTTGGAATAATGTTTTTAATTTTCATTTTATTTATTTATTTATTTTGGGGGTAATGGAACAACTCTAGAAGTCAACATATCTACAAATTTAAGTACAATCATCTCAAACTATAAAAATAAATATGTAGCATTTTATTAGAGATTGTAAAGATTACAAAGAACTATGCATATAAATAACATCTAATAAAATTTTGTAACTACATAAATATTTATTTATAGAGTCATCAGATTCAAAGTTCATCGTATTTAGATTCTAAGTATGCATATTATAGTATAAATTCATCATTAATTAATAGTATTATGTATAGTAATAGAAAATTAGTATTAATGTTTCAAATTGTAATTTTTAATAATTCCTCTTGCATTTGCTGTATATTTGTTCAAAACGTATGGATATCAGTTATATAACATGAAAATTACACAGAAAGCAGCTAATCTTTCATAACAGCTGATTGTGAAAGAAAAATTACAGTGCTCTTAATTATAGTTATAGTGCTCTTAAATCTCCCTATTGTAAATAGCCGTTTTCTAATTGGTATTAGATTAAATTATTTCCATTATCCATCAGAAAATAATTATAGTGAATTATATCTTTTGACGACCATGTTACCTTAAAAATAGCATAATCTCAGCCATATTACCTTAAAAATAGTTAATCACTAAACACTGGTACTTCGGTCTGAGGTACGAGTCCCGCAAATGGGCTGGATGTATGAAGATTTTCATGGGTTTTCCCATGTGTAACATATATACGGGCCAGTTTCTCTTAGAAAGTCTTCCACGAAGGCACCCTTCTCCCCCGGCAGATAGCCCTCGAGGCTTTGCCGTGCTCACATACACCAAACCAAACCAAACTCACTAATCAACTTGATGTTCAGTAACAACAGAATAAGAATAAAGATTGAAACCTTGTATCCTTTATTTTTTAACTATTTACAAGAGTTAAACTTGTGCTTAACGTATAGACCACTGCTTGTGGTGTTATGTTACGTAGAAGTGAAGGGACCACCTAATATTTACCTGAAATAAGTAAACATTAGCTCTACACACGGACTTGAAAAACAACAATCTTCCGGCGTCTTGGAGTCATGATGAAATTGTGTCTCCAGCCAACATTGCAAGTTCTGCCACCGCAGGCGGTTAAATTAGATCAAGTAAAATGCATTAATTACATGATATATATATAGCGATACATAGTTGTACAGGGGCATGTTTTATGGCGTTATTTATTGAAATGGGCACAGGCATCATGTTTCAGGACATTACATATTGCAGTAAGTAAAGGCGTGATGAAGATGATGTTTCAGGACATTACATATTGCAGTAGATAAAGGCGTGATGTAGATAATGTTCTTTCAGGGCGTGTTTGCACACATGATCTGTTCACATCAGTGTTTACTATCAAAATTAAGTTAGCACTTTAAAATTGTTTACAAAGCTTACTCATTTGCATATTTATGCTTACTTCTTACATTTAAATATTGTTGTATAGATGTGCTGATACTTTAGCTACTCAGTATTGACGAATGAGTTGCTAAAGTATCAGTACAACCATACAACAATACTTAAATTGTTGTGTTAATATTTTATGAGTTGCTAAAGTATCAGCACAACTAATAAGCTTAACATTTCAAGGTAATAAATTAAGTAGAGGAATTACACAAAGTTATACATACATGTATGTGTTTTTAATTGTATTATTTTGATAGACTCTCTGTTCTATATACATATAGGATTTTAATTCAGCCGGAGTCCAAAATGAAATGTGTTCCGCTATTTAAATTTATTGTTCACTTATTTGTTTTAATTTAATTTATTTTTTATTTTATCTTTTCATGAATCTGCTTTGTGAAGCTGAAGAAAAAAGGGAAAAATATTAATTTTAACGTAGCATATATATCGGTGTGGGTTTTTGTCAGTGTGGGCTTTTATCAGCGTGCACTTATATCTATGTGGGCTTTTATCTGTGTGGGCTTTTATCAATGTGCGCTTTCATCGGTGTGGGTATTAGTCGTGTGGGCAATTACGCAGTGGGGTCTTTTTTGTGGGCTTTTGTCGCGTGCGCTTTCGTCCAGTGGGCTTTTGTCTGGTCACCGTTAAAGTTATAAGGTTTTTCTCCCTGCTTTCCACATACCTTCGTGGTGTAATTCGAAGCATGTTCGACATTGTCCGGAGCTCGAATCCCGATGATGGCGTCGCACAATTTTCACGTTACCTGCTCCAAAAATGCCTAATGACTCAACACATTTAAGTATTTCGCATGATATTCGTAACATCATTCAGCAACAGCATTTAAAAAGCAATATGCTGGAATTTTGTTTGACGCGCAAATAGTTTTTATATATATTTTAGTTTTTTCAAAAGTTTACGAAATTCGGAAGGGAAAAAAACTTTAGGTTTTACTACATTTTATTTGTTTATAATAACTGTTATTATGAACTTCACGAAAATTAAAATTGCTGAGTGATTCTGGATAAACATTTTGTACACTGTGTTCCTTTATATTTTAGAAATGCGTGTTTAGAATGTATGTACACGAAATGTAGTTTAGAAACGTGTTAATGTGCTTGTGCAATTTTAGGCCATTAATGTGCTTATGCAAACTTTATTGGTACTTACGGAAAATCCCGTTGACTACTTTGCCTATTAAAGAAAAGACGCCAAACTAAGCGATTTTTCGCCCAAAGTGGAAAAGTCTTCTTCAAACACGCTGAGTTTGGTATAACCTTGATTCAAGGCCGTAATTTTCGAGAAAATGAAGATATCGGGGATCTCGCGAGCTGAAAATTTCGCGAAATTTGTTAAGTGAAAAATTTCTGATTTTTTTATTATTATTTGAGGCGAAAACAAGTATTTCGCGAGACTTATATTTTCTGGCGAAAATTAAAACCTAGTGAAAATCATTGCTTTTACAGTGCTTATACAGTTTTAGTAATATTAAGTATCTCCTTAATAAAAAATAATGGAAATTTTTAATGAAAAGTTAACTATAAAAAAAAGATAATAGAATAAATTTGAAAGAAATATAAGAATAGAACGTTTTTTCTGGTATTTAGTAAATGGGGTTTTTTGGTTTGGCGCGAATGACGCCATCTATTGTGGCCGACGGAATTTTCCGTAAGTACCTCTTTAATTTCCCAACCGTTGATCTTAGACATATATTTTCAACTACAGAAATACCTTAAATCAGGAAATTATTCATTTTTTGTCATTTTGAAGTTTACAAAATTAATCTTGTAAAAATTAAGTAATTAATTTTTTTATACATCCACTCATTTCGTACAGTTATAGTGAGCAAAAACTTGTATGCATTCTAAAAAATGAAAAGTAAACAATTTATCTCTCTTACCGTCTAGAGGTGGACTTGGAAGGCGAGAAGGGGCATATCTATATTTAGTTCAAATCTTCACTGAGAGATGGCACTGTAGTCTTAAAATACTCATGATGTACTGCTACATTAAGAGTAGTACACTAACATTCACTGAAATGTTTAGATAAATAACTATCACGTGGTTCTTTTTTTTTTTTTTTTTTTTCTTTCTTTCTTTTTTTGATACTCTTATGCCGGGCTGTCGCTGTAGAGCACACGACGTTGCCGGCTCTATGACTAAGTATCCCAATAGGGCACAAGACGTTGAACAGTCTGGCCGGAGAGTGAGAAGGCGTCGGAAATGAGAAAAGGGGAGTGACCAGGCGTCACAAGAAGAAAGGAAACCAAGAAAGCCGCGCGCATGGAGAGGCTAAATACAAGTTGGGTGTCTGATAGTGTTGTTATCATGATGGAGTGGGAGGTTAAAATATGAGAATAAGGTCTGAGAAAAGTTTTATTATCTAAATCAGATATTGTATTGTGAGATATTACATACAATACAAATACAAGACACATAAAAAAAGATACAAATGATAGAATATAAATATAACTATATACAAATTTACACTATTTATACAGGAAAATCCGTGAAAGCGAACTATGTATTGAAATTATCGTCACGGGTGAGGTGCTCCGCGTAAGGTCTGATGCAACTGTCTTATCTCAAGGGTAGATAGTTAAAAACTTTAAAATGAAGTAAAACGTCGCATTGTATGGCTTTGTCGAAAACGTTTTTGTTCATTTTATGAAGGTATTTTTCTACGGTATCCAGTTTAAGGTCTCTGTGAAGAGTGTCGTTTGACACATAAAAATGTGCGTTTGTAATAAGTCTCATAAACTTGTTTTGTAGAACTTGCAATTTATAAAGATCTTTAGTAGTAACTGTAGCCCAAGCAGGGAATGCATAGGAAAAAATTGGCCTGATAATGGCCGTATAAAGATATCTTGTCGAAAGCTAATGACAAATGAATATTATCCGAAAGGCACAGATGAACTGAGGAAAAGGCTTTGCTGTGAATTATAGCCGAGGAACTGGTCCACCATGGAAGAGATCTAGACGCCGTCTAGGAAAAAAAAAGAAGACTAATTTGAACAGTGTCCATTTTCTTCCTATTTAAATGTGGTGTAAAAGTATTTTTTAAAACTTTAAATTTTTGACCTGAAATTTGGAAACTTATGAGAGAAGTTACCTTTTCTCTTTAAGCAAATGAGCAAGCCGAGCTTATTAAACTGTCAAATTTTACAGAACTTTTCCCTTCGGAAAAAGTCTCTCCATTGGGGAAGAGGCTGTAACAGCTTTAAATAGTATTAAAATCTTGTAGTTTAAATAATTTAAATAGATAAACATTAAGGTATTTGTGAATGGCAATATTTGAAACCAGACTCGAGTGCCACGTGCGACTCTCGCAAGAAGAATGTAATTTATTATTAAATGTTAGAATATGTTTTCTCTTCTTGTTTGTATGCCGCCATTTTTTGAGTGTTAAATAAAAGTTACTGCTGTGTTCCATCATTGGAGTTGTTTCATTTCGGCAAAGAAGTATTACAAAGACTTAATGGCGACGGCCGTATCATCGGCGTAACAACCGAGGAAGGAATTTACATCATAATTTATTTTAGAGAAGTCTGAGACGTAAAAAATATACAAAACAGGTCCAAGTACAGAAAGCCTTGAGCAACTCCGGCTTTGAGTGTCTTACAATCAAAATTATCGTCATGAATGTTGACAAAGAAACTTCTATTTGTAATAAAAGAGTTGATGAGGAGAATGATGTCTCGACTAAAATCCAGAGTGATGAGCTTTTGGATAAGCCCCTCATGCCAGACGCGATCGAAAGCTTTCGCCACGTCTAGCATGAGTAAGGCAACTGTCTGATTGTTGTACAAAGCGGCACCGACAAATTCGGCTAATCTAACAAGCTGCTTAATAGTGGTTAACTTTTTCTGGAAACCGAATTGCTCGGGAGGAATCTTGTAAAAATAAGGTTCAATTCTCCTTAAAATAATCCTCTCAAAAATTTTCCTAAAGCCAGGAAGTAAACTGATGGGTCTAAACCCGTCCGTTTTAGTAATATCCTTGCTTGGTTTGGGCAGCAAGATAATTTTGGCAGTCTTCCATTTTCTAAGAAAATAATTATTGGCAAGACAAGCATTAAGAATGCTAGTGAGTTTTGAGATGACATTCGATGGAAGGTTTTTGATTGCAATGTTGGTAATCTGATCAAAGCCAGGTGCTTTCCTATTTTTTAGTCTTCTAATAATTTCTGAGATCTCTTTAGGAGAGGTGTAATCAGTATTATTTTTAATATTTATGCTATTAAGCCATTCATGGAACAAAATTGTTAGGATATGTCATTGACGAAAATTATGATCACAGGGTCGAGATTAGGCGTCAAATATAGGTATTTCGAGATGTAAAGCCATAATATCGGACTTTGTCTTCCAATTTGTGAGATGCCAATGTTTTATCCATAGTTTGGATTCTACGACTCAAAGTGGTATGCCAAACTCCCAAGTTTGTCTCTTAAGAGTTTTAGCAAAATTCCAAAAATCTTGATTGGGTTCGTTGAAACTGCTGATCTTCTCATTCTGTCTTTCCGTCCTGTAGATACTGATGTCATTTTTAATTTCTTTATTAAGTCTGTTTAGTTTCTTTTTAATTTTAGGATCCCATGAAACATATCTCTTAAGTAAGTTATTTCGCTTTTTAATTTTGTTACTTTTGATGGTCTTCCTACAGTACATTCTTTATAAGATATTTTCCTCCCTCCTTTCTGCAAACCTTCGTGTTGTGATTGGAAGCATACTCGATCAGTATGTATAGCTTCAGGGTTCGAGTCCCCTGAGAACATAACACATTTTTCACGTCTCCTGCTTCAAAATAACCTAATGACTCTATATCCTTTAGCATATTTGTAACTATGTTATTTATCGGCAAATATTTATTTAAATATTCAAATTTAGGCCAAATATTTTGGCTTCTGTAATACGTTTCTTATCTGCTTAGGTTAAACAATTGATTTTGTAAGTTTTTTTTAAATATGTTCAGATCTATGGGATACCTTGTTATAACAACAGAATTTTTTTTATCTGGGTGAAAACTGAGCTATTTAAAAACAGCATAAATATTATTTTATACTTTTAACAGGCAACAAGGTTTACTTTGTTGTCATTGATTCTGTTTTGAAATCTTTACTGTTGGAATTTTATTTCATTCTTTTTAGTCAGTTGCATCCACTTTCGCCACTTTACACTTCAGCCTGCCTATTCCGAAGATCAGATACGAACCAGCATATCGGTATCACTCAAAACGTTTCAGTATTCAAAGATGGGTTAGCTACGTTGCTCTCACAACATTTAAAATCTTATTCAAAGCCAATATTATAGGATTCCTAATTTATTTTGATTTATTTTGTACTATTCCGACTACTTCTTCGCTGTTCATTCTGGCCAAAAGTCTGCTACTCCACCACAAAAGGATTGTTAATGGGATCGACAAATTAATGGATATCTGGGTTGCAAGCTGCCATATGCGTGGACCCTGATCACAGGAAAGCAGTTCATAGCTATGTAGCAATCTTGCTTTTAAACAAGAAGAAAAGAGATGAGAACTTTGGCGAACGCCGTTTCTTCCAGTCCGTGAGGCATGGTAAGTTCTACCAAACAATTCATAGAAATGAGGAATCGGGCTCGCGGTTGCGGCTTGCTCAGGAACCTCATTTGTCTTCTTGCGTAACTATACAGCCAGCGTCATCAACCAGCGCCAACCTACATCACATGTTCAAGAATAAACCGAGGCATCCACTGTTTAACTCAGCCATAGAGCGAAATAAAAAATAATAGTAACGAGGTAAGTAAGATTTAATTTAAACAACATTTTATTTACATGTTAGATTTTTACTGATAGTTGTATTTCTTTCGTCATCTTCACCAGAATGTCTTTAAAACTTGATGCATACATTATACGGACCATGCGGAAGATATCTGCAGTAAAAAATAATAGTTCAAATGTTGACCACCACATGGAAACGTGGTGATTAAACAACAAGAAACAAGAATTAGACGCATAAAACATTATTTAATCTCAACATTTGTTCAATGAGAATTCCATTTGCAACAATCACATGTTCAAAGCACGTTATGGCATGTTCAACAGTAGCCCGAATGGTTTCTTGAAGAATTGCAGAAGCAGGGTTTATTGTGCTTGCTTTTATTTCAGGCATATCCTGTATGCTTACTTGGTAGACATGATCTTTCAAGAATCCCCCGAACCAGAAGTAACAGCGATTCAAGTCCGCAAAATGAATGCACTTAATTTTAGTTAACTTATTAACGCGACGTAAATATACTGTGTATTTAAGAAATAACCATGCGAGGGTTAAAGACAAAAATAAATACGTAGTCTTGCATGGAACGAAGCAAAATAGCCTATATGTTGTAAATCAACAGGATGTAATCGAAGTTTCAAATGTTGCAAGGGATAATGCAAATAATTTTAACAGTAAACAAAGTACGGCAGGAAAGATGTGGTCACTTAAATCTAGACGACTTAAAATCATTGCATTCCTCGTGCGCGGTCTAAAGATTCCAAAGTGTAATAATGAAATGATATTTTGTGAAACTTGTACTAAATGCAAAAAACAAGGTAACCATTCCCAAAATAAAAGCACGCAGTAAAATGTGAAATTCTTGAACTTGTACATATCCATATTTGTGACCCCATGAATGTTATATCTTTAGGTGGTGTAAAATATTTCATTACATTCATCGACGGCAAATCGCCGAAAATTACTCTGTACGCTTTACGGAAAAGGTTCAAAGTCCTTGAAGCATTTGAAAAATACACATTTTTGGCTGAGAAGCAAACGAGAAAGCAACTGAAAATACTCCGTAGCGATAATGCGAAAGAATTTAAAAGTAACGAATTTAATCAATTTTTAGAAAAGGAAGGCTTTGAACGCCAGTTGTCAGTTGAGTATAGACCACCATAGAACGGAGTTGCAGAACGCGCCATCGTACCCTAGCTACTTACATCCCACTAAACCGATAAAAAAAACACCTGAAGAAATATGGTCTAAAAAAAAGCCTACAGTAACGCATTTCAGGATCATAGGAAGCAAAACTTTTGCATTAACAAATTCAAACAGGAAAAATAAATTTCTCCCGAAAAGTAAAGCATACTTTCTTATTAGATATTCCGAGGAAGCAAAAGCATATCGTCTATGGAAACCTGGAACTTATGAAGTAGTACAATGTCTTGACGTCAGATTTTTGAAACTCCCAAAAATTGAGACAATTTCGAAAATTTCAGCAGATGGTGAACAGGAATTCATCGAATTTGTTCTTACCGAAGAAAATTCAGAAGCCAACAAGAATTCCGAAGTGCCAAACGAAAGGAGACTAAAAGTTGACGAATACGTAATTCAAGATCAAAATTCAGAAAGAGGACCAGGAAGAACTTCCTGTAAGCAGGAATACCCGGCAGACCAAGAAAAATCTATCAACAAAGCCACGCTAATTTGGTAAAATGCCAGCCCATATTTTAACGAAAAGTCTTGGCAGAAACAAAAGTAAAAAATGAGTCAATCTAATTAAGACTTGAACTTTAACTAATGAATGTCTTTTTTTTTTTTAATTCTGTTCTTAGCTCAATGAGAGAAAATGTTGGGAAATTTGCATTTCTTCTTTATGCCTGCGCTGAGCAGAAAAAGGTAAAATATATAATCACGAGGTAGACTCCACAAGCGGTAGGTGAAGACTGTATTCCTTCCGATGTGCCTTCTCGACCAGGCCAACGAATTATTCCGTGGTGTAGCGATTTTGGGATATGGCAACCTGCAGTGAAATATAGCTATTCAATATCTATATATAAAGCAGCTTAAGTGTTTATCACCGATAGTTTATTGGTTGCTTACGTAACTGTTAATTGTTATATTCCCCGTGTAGTGCAGCGCGTGACGAATATTATGAAAAAGCTAAGCCGTAAAAATTAAAAATACAAACACGTGCATTTAACATTTAATAAATAAATTTAACATCTATGTATAATAGAATTCTTTTATGCAACCGCCAAAAACCGGCAACGATGAAAAAAACAAATAAAAATAAAATGAAATAAATATCTTTATTATATGCAGCTTAAGCGTCTGTTTGTCACCGATAGTTATTGTTTGCTTGCGTATCTGTACTAGCCAATGGGGTGAAGTTGCCACGGCACAAGGTTGCCGTTTCAATTGAGACGTAGACAATTTCCTGTAAAACTTGCCTTTGCTATGACCATCCATAAGTCTCAGAGCCAAACGCTTTAGCGTGTTGGCATTTTTTTACCTGAGCTTGCATTTGGACACGGTCAACTTTATATTGCCTGTTCAAGAGTTCGTGAAAGAACGGACGTAAAATTAAAAATAATGGATAGTCCTCTGCAACGCGAGCTTAAAAATGATGAAAAGATCTACACAAGAAATGTTTTATTGAGCTAGCGGTGGCTCTTAAGAAATGTAACGCCTGTGGTTTCCTTCATTGCACTCTATTTTAAACAATTAAGCAAGTAGAAAAGGGAAACCCCGTGGGGCAGTAATCAAAGGGGCGTTCTCGCCGCCTGTCCTGGGTAATTCAGTTTGAATCAGCAGACACCTTTGCACAAATCATTTTAATTACAATTTATAATATCTAGAACAGCGGTCATTTCGTATGACCGCCGGGCTTTCTAGTTACATTATAAGCGTTAGATTATAGCAGGAATCTAGCACAGTATCCCGTATAATTTACAACGCCACCTAGTACCTGTCAAGTAGACTCAACTCTTGTTGTACCAGTGAAGTACGTTCATCTGTTATTTACCATATGGTTTTATTAACGTGTCATAATCTGACATGATATGTTCATCCATTTTGCTAAGGAAAGAAAGCACCAATTAAATCTTATGTTTTCGACTTACAGCAAGTGTACTTCTTTGGCAGGGAACCATGTTTTACATTACTGCATATCATTCTCAAGGACCTTCATAAATTCAAAACTACAATATCGATTTATTTTCCTCTTTTTCTTTCAGATTCAGATCTAACTTATTTTTTTCCCTTTAGTATTTTAGAAAATACAAATACATGTAGAGTAAGCTGCTGAAGATCACGGGCGAGAGGAAAGAAAACATGAAAAAAATTAATTATAAATTTCGAAAAAAAAAAGCATTTCTTTGAAATAACAACTGAAACTTAGATTAAAAAAAAGCAACATTAGGCCATAAATAAAGAAATCACAAAAGATCTGGTTGAATATATGCCAAAAACGCTGAGCAATATTTTTAAAGCAAGTAGTATTAAAAAAATATGTATAATTATTAACATTCTTTTAGAATGCCAGAAACACTTTTGGTGAGTCTTTCGAAATTTTTTGTGTCGTTAATTTACGTATTATATTCCACTTCGTTCTTTTATGCAACCATTCTTTATCCACTACGGAACACGGTGTTGGTATTCACGAAACATGAGATAGTCTTCCATTTATGCTGGCTAATAAAACTTTCTAGAGTGTTGTCGTTAGACAAATCATGAGATATTTAATTTAAATATGATAATATTATTATTTAAAGCGATCTAAAACCAATATACACATTTTTTTATAATTTCAGTTGTATTTTAAACAATACAGAATAGTTTTATTCAGTGCAGAGTAAGTTATAATTCGGTGAAATATAAAATGACCTACGGACACAGTACCATATTTTATTATACTGAAATAAAAGCAAACTTATTCTTTTTAACCCAAAAGGGGCTGCGTCATATAACTAGTCTCGATGGGAATTTTTCTCGGTATAGCGTATCACTTTTCACATTGTTGCCACCATATCTTATCGCTGTCTATTATTTTTTAACTAATTGCATGCATGTATTTATGTATGTTCCTCGCATTCTGAAAAATGATGGTAAATAAAGCCATCCAATGTTGAGTAACGGAGTCCTCCACCCGATCCTGTGCACCTGGAAGCCCGAATTTTTAATTTCGAATTTGTTTTATTATTTATTTTATATTCTGTAAAACTGAGGTGAATTTTTGATTAACAAACTAAACGATTTGAAAGCGAACGGTGGCAACACTGTGAGGAAAGACACATTTTTTTTTATCTCCAGCCCGCGAGACTATTGCCATTCAGAAAAATGTAAGATATTTTTAAAGATATTTTATAAGATATTTTTCAATTTTAATAAACAAACTCGGCTATTTGAAAGTAATGTGTCACTACGGCGGGAAATAAAATACTCTTATCTTCCAAGCGTCAGCGTGTTCCCATTTCGTAAAACCTAAGATATTTTCAAATTTAATCTGCAAGGTTATTGAGTAACAAACGAGACGATTTGAAAGCACTAAACACGCTTCTTAGGAGCATTTTTTTTTTTTTTTTTTTTTTTTTTTTTTTTTTTTACTTTTTAATGTGATTCGTTTCAATAAAGTATATTAAAATTGAAACATTGTAAATATTAATTTGATATCATAATTCTAAACATTCAGTCATTTTATGAAAACACATTATCTTGATTCTTTAAAATCATTATATACTTTTTCATTTCTATAATATTATTTTAGGTGGCTGACCGGGTGAGCGGCTACTTTAAAAAAAATGATGTAGCGAATATAAAATATATGTAGGGCTATCTCTAACACTCTATCGGGAAATCTAAAGATATTCTTTTTTAATATATTGCGATTTTTCTGTTGAATTGAATTTTATAAAGATAAAGTGCGAAGAACTTGATATTTAATAACAAAGTTAACGCATAAAAATTTATAATAAAAAGATAAAAATAAATTCATATTATCCATCTTACTAAGAAAACTGAATAGTGATATGATGAACTAAGAAAAGACTGAAAAAAATATTAAAATATATGCCAACACTTAAAACTGCACCGGGTATTCTTAGCATAATATTACTATGCAACTATTATTAAGGTAAAAATATTACTTACTTCTTTTTGTGCTGACAAATCATTATGTGAAAATTTCTTTAAATTTTGATAAGACAGAAAGTGCAAGTCTACGATGATTTAAAGGAGTCTTATTTTTCATTACGACTCATTACGGTTCATTACGATAGTTAGGATTTCACCGCAATTTTCTACCACAATATTTTAGATCTGCAATGTTTTCTCCTTGTTTTTTTATTCACAGAGTATTTCGTATGAGACGTTTTCTTCCTTGCTTTGTTTTCTGTGAGATGGTGTACCCAACCGATAAATTATTAAGCCAAAATAAAGTTTATTCGTGATATGGTCATTTGATAATTATGAATATCTGAAGCAAAATTATAATTAATAAAAGATGTTTTGAAACCGAATTTTGGTACTTTTCCGTTTCGCCGGCGCAAATCTCACCAAGCAGACTTTATTGGCGACAACATACAATATACACATAAAAAATGTTAACAAATGTTAGTTCTAAAAATTTTTTATTTTGAAAGCATAAACATTTTAATATCGCTTAAAATTTTGTAAAAAAAACAATAAATAAAGACAAAAAAATAGTAAAAAGCCATTAATTTAATAATTAACTATCCTTTCACGGTTCAGCATCCTGATTCGCCGCTTCATATCACGTGACCCCAAATGATCTCATCTCACGTAAACTACGCTACAAAAGTCTAGTACTCTCAGTAATTATCTACATTAATTTCAAGTTAAATCTTAATTTGGAATACAAGTTTAATGCAAGATAATTCCGTTAAGGGGACTCATACACCTTAAACCCCTCATGATCTTCGAATATGTGACTGTTGCAAGAATTGGAATATTTTATTTATTTTAAAAGCAATTACTTCCAACTTTTTACAGCTGACTACATAATATAGCTGCTTTGGAAACTAGTAACCAGAAAGTTTGTGTTGCCACAAATATTTTGTAATTTAATCCTCTTTGTGACAAAATATTTCGCCATGTTTCCACCTTGCGCGCATGATATTTTAAAAATGGCTAATGGTACATACTTGAAATTTGATGGAATTCTTTATATGGGCACTATTTTCTAACTGAACCAACAATCTGATGAATATTTTAATATTGAAAAATTTTATGGACGAAAACATTAAATTTTTTTTAATAAAATACATTTTATAAACTCAACTCAAAATCAAATAAAAATTTAACATGAAATTTTTAGAATTTTAGGTTCACAGTAGTTTCCAAATGTTATAAAAGCTATATATTAAATATGGAATTAAATTATGAAACAGAATGTTTTAAACTGTGCGCGCAAGTTGGAAACATGACGAAAAATGTTGTCACAAAGCGGATTAAATTATAAAAATATTTGTGGCAACACAAACTTTCTGATTACTATTTCAGAAAGCAGCTATATTATGTAGTCAGCTGTAAAATGTTGGTAATAATTGCTTGTAAAATAAATAAGTTATCCCAGTTCTTGCAACAGTCACCTATTCAACCATCTTATGGGTTTTAAGGTGTATGAGTCCCCTTAATTTATTTATACTCTATTATCGTAATAAAGGATACATAAAAGTCTGAATTAGCAATAAATTAAGTATCAGATGCAAAAACATGCCGTATATTTCGACGTAAAATACGTACTTCTGAAACAAAATATAGCATCGAAATTTACGAGTGAGCCTTATACGTCGGATATAAAAATGATAGATTTAAAAATAAGGAAGTGATGAGGATACAAAAATTAGATTTCTTCATGCATCTAAATGCTGTTTGTT